AGTTTACAGCCTACGGTTATTTTTGGCTCTGCAGCTCTACTTGAGTCAACCGCCAGAGCGCAAACTCCCGGAAGTTCAGGCTTAACCCCTTCCTCACCCGCAGCGCACTTTCACCGAACTAACGGTTCTGGCCCTCGTGTTAACGACGCCACAGTAGTAACTTTTCAGTGTAGTAAAATGTCGAACGAGTATCAGGAATAATTCTGTGTATTATGTCTTCCAGAGAGGGTACAATTGATGATATCTTCAGGAGACCATTTTCAACGAGAGTGTTTCACGAGAAGGTTCAGACAATTGAAAATGGTAAGCCAATACCAGCATTGGCACATATACAGCATATAACAAAAAAATGGGACAGGGGGGAGGGAAGCTGGTTGGTCACCAGCAGCTGGGGTGTGCAAAGTAATCACCGCATGCCCCTGCTTACAGAGGAGCGATAGTCACTTTAATGCGATACTCGAATATTTCTTGACGCCAAGAGTTTATAATTGATCAATATTTTTATAATCCCCCTCTATTTATATATGCATATACATATGTGGATATGTATACAAACGATTACTTTTCAGTTTCATTCAGAATATTTTCACGCACTGGATTTTAACACACGTATACACCAGTGCATGCAGCCTTGAAAATAGTGAATTAAAAAAGTCGAATTAAAAGTGACTCATTCTGCTTTACGACTTACTACACTGTAGAGGACGGGACTCTGAGCTCAACACCTACGACCCCCGGCCAGAGGCGCTGCCGAGGCCAGAGAAATTCTGCCTCCGAGCACACAAATGCGCTCTCGGGCTTGGCGGTGCTCATGATGCTCATTCAGAATTTCGGGTCGCGGCAACTGCTGAGACAATTAGCCCCGTTGGTGCACCGCCTAGGAACCGGGACAGGCTCTATGCTCCCGACATACTCGTAGCTCTCAGTCTCACGGGGGTACTCAAGTTCCACTGCCAACCACAAGGTCTGGTACTCCCCAGGTGGAGTTGTTATTATTATTCCTCGAATTCACACCTAAAGGTATTTTGAGACGATTGAATACAAAGTCGACTCCGGGTTGCAACCAGCTTCTTAAGGTGCAGTTCTAAAGAGTATCGATGGCTTCACAATATTTTCCAAAAATGATGGCTGTTACCCAAAAAGTCAGAATGCACTACGATCACAGATGTAGAAAAATATATTTGTCTAAAAGGTTATTGGCTAAATTTTGTGAATCACTATTTTTCACGGATCCTAAAACGCGTACTCGAATTCAATTAAAAGCACTGATATTTGAACGTCAATTGCCTCGGCGTGGTTTAAAAGATCAATTTAAAATCTTTCTTTATATATGTGAGAATAGATGTGGCAATAGATTGAAGGTACTGGAATAATATTTAAAATTCCTCCAAAAGAACATACTTTAGTACAAGTATTTTATATTAATTTATTTTAATGTTTAGTTGTAAAGTAAGTTTGGGTGGGAGGGCGAGAACCTCAATATTACACAATATTTTTACATAGGTCCGCCCTTTTTTTAATAAGATGGTGAGTAAGACCGGATATTTCCAAATGGGAGCGAGGAAGAGAAGAGCGGATCAGGGCGGAGCGGGGATACAATAGAAAAGAAATCGGCCCCACTGCTGCCGGAAATAAATGGAATTCCTCTTAGTGTCTACAAAATTGTATAGTTGATAAATACCCGGACAACGCTGGGCACTTCAGCTAGTTTGAGATAAATTGAAAGCCTTTTGTCGAGCCGGAAGGCACCGAGAATTTGCGTTGAGCGACTGACTAGTGTTTCCGTCCGGCTTATTTAGACACACATGACAGCTTTAGAAAGTCATGCCGCTATTCCTTTGATTTGAGATGCTACTGTGGCGTCGTCAACACGAGGGACAGAACCATTAGGTCGGTGAGTTGCAGGGGAGGAAAGGGTTGAGCCCTGAGCTTCCTGGTTTTGCGCTCTGGCAGTTGACGCAGACAGTGTGGCAGAGCCAAAAATACCCTTAGGCTGTAAACTCCTAGGAAGCTAGCTAGCGAGCCCTCGCTTGCCGACAGCAGGCGAGCCTACCTAGGAAACTTGTGTGGTGAGGGTGCAGGCCCCAACTATTTAACGCGGCGCCATCTGCTCCCGCGTTCTCATTCAGTTTGCATCGGAGAGCGGAAGACTAGTAGGTACGGGGATATGTCCGGAGCGTAAGGGCCAGGCGATCTCGGGTGTTGTAGGCATGCGGTCCGCCGGACGGCGACCAGTTTAAATTTTGGCGTCAGGCCATGTGACGGTAATAGTCACGGGACGGAAGTCCAACAGCACGAATCACGCGTGGCTTTTTTCTGCGGTAAAGCAGGGTACTGGGAAAGAAAAGGTTGCCGGAGGGCTTAAATTTTAGCAAATTATTGTAACTTGTTTGTAACTTTTCAATATACTTCTTATACTATTGTTATCTGAATTTATTCTTATTTCACTACGTCACATTACTTCTACTTCTCGTGCTATTATTTTACGTACCACCTATGCCCTTAACCAGTTGCCCTGCGTTAGAGCCTGGCACAAAGACAGACGTTTGTTCTCTGCGACCTCCGAGAATGCTAGTATCGAGAAGGATCGATACGAACCAGTTGCGGCCTCCCAGTAGCGGATCCAGGTCCAGGCCCCACCCCAAAGGTCTAGTTTTCGTTTCTCTTGTTTCATTTGCAACATATATTTAAATATTTAATTATGTTACAATTACATAATTGTTTTAAAAAATAGTAGTTTCATATATATATATACACTACAAAAATAATATACACGATAGTAACAAATGGTTATTTTTCAACAACCGTCTACGGCAGCACCTGCAAAACGATCGGCTGGATGCGCCCTTGGGCCTATACGTCGACTACCGATGTCTTGCATTGGCTGGCGAGCCATCGCAGTTAGTGCCGGAAATTCTCCAGTCACGACTCGAAATCTATCATCCCATTAAAATAAGTTGGTGATTGACAGAAACTGTTGCTTCATAATACATGATTATGTCATTTGGTGACTTATCACTAGGGGGCGAATTCTCGTGACCTAAAACATTGCCAAAAATGATCAAAAAATGTTTTAAAAATGCCCTATAAACAAAGAAAATGACGTAAAAAATTGGATCAAAACCACTTCAGATGAACAACTTAAGATATGTTACTAATGGAATCGAGGCTTCTTCCTTTTGTTCAACTGAACTCAGCTTGGAAACTTTAGATTTGGAGTGTTCTTAAAAAAAAACTGCCTTTATTTATTACGAAATCGGCTGATCTGACAATGGCGCTGAGGAACGTCACAGGAACTTTAGATTACATAGTACTCACGATGGCTGACATTACAATATATGAGCGAAGAAATCCAATAGACTACTGAGGAATTCTGCGGTGAACATTTGTTCAGGATAAAAAGGAAAGGCAATGTTCTAAAGTGAAAAGGAAAAAAACCGACATTTCATTAAAATGCTCCCTCTACTTCTTGCAAGAAACGTGCTCCAAGGTACGCAGCCTGCCTTTGCCAGGGGCGCTCACCGAGGGATGTAGCAGGCGCGGCCGCTGCGCAGAATGTCCCGCACCAGGTCGTCGGTGCGCACCTCCTTCTCGAAGCTCAGGTACACGGCCACGGAGCGCGCGCGCTCGTACTCCGGCCGCCCCAGCACCTGCGCACAGCACACGCACGTTTCATTACGGAACAAAATCTCCATCTTTAATATTTCACCTGTAGGGAAACGCCGAAAAAAAATTTAAACTTTTGAAATTTACGAAAAATCGATGTGTTTAACGATTGAGACCTGCACCATTCTCTTAAACGTCATTTATACTATCCAAGAACAAAATTAAATGAAAAACGATGGAGCCTTTTTCTGAAAATTTGTAAAATGTTCCAGGGCCTTCATGTAAAGAACTCCCCAAAAACTAAAATATCGGTTTCAAATTCTGGCGGCTTCTGCCACATCGATTGGGGAATATTAATTTTGGAGACAATCAGCTGAACGGTTTAGTCGCTAGCCTTGTTCACAGTCTGACAGGCAGACATGTTGCCGTCATTTGATTTTTCGGTATCAAGGGCCTACAAAACACTTAAACTTTTTAAAATGTTTTGTTTGTATTCATCTAAATACTGATAATATATTAAACAAGAAAATACTAACAATGAATTTGGAAAATAACAGGATAACTTTTTCTATAACCAAACCCGAAAACCAGACTTTTTGAATGTTACATGCGTTTACGGCAGATTAGACTTCCCCCGAAAAAGGAGCAGTTTTACGCTGAATGAAAACTAGTATTTAAAGTGATATATTTTTGGATCTTAGTATTTCGCTACTAGTATCTTACAAATTTTTACATGGAAATTGATAAGATGGTGCTTGTGGTAATTGTAATGGATAGCATCGACAACAATGGTACTCTCACAAAACAAACTGAAAAATTGTAGAACTTACGAATAAGAACATTCTATAACACAGAAAATAATTTCATTGTATTTAATTTTGCAATCTCGTTATTATTTTATTACCAGCACAAAATAATATTTAATAAATACACTAAATATTGTAGTTAATTATCTTTTGCTCTTTTGAGTTCATTGTTTAGTGGTCTCCTATTGGTTGGGCAACCACACTGTCCAGTGGAAGCGGTCTTCGCAATGTTTGACTGTGTTTTCATCTTGGAGCAGTGGCCCGCAACAACCTCTAGATAATTGCTAGCGGACTCTGGTGGATGACCTTACACCACTGTGACGTCAAAAGATTGAACTTGTTATGCACGTAGTCCACGAATATCTAACACACGAACACGTGCTTTCAGGGCTGGATTTGCCTAGAAGCAAAACACGCGGTTGCTAAGGGGCACCCGCGCTTCGGAAAAATATACGATGTAAAAATAATATAATCAGTATTTGTAACATAAAATGTGTTTAAAGGGAGTCGGAGGTGCCCAGGTTGAAAGGTGGATTTTGACGTACTTTGTCTTTCAGAAACTATTAAAGGTAGAGCTTTTAAATTTTCACAGCGTGTACAATTGTACATTGAGTCCTTCTTATCACTTTGACATAGGGAAATTTTACTATTTAGAATGTTTTCAGTAATTTTTTTACACTATTTTTTTCCTTAAATTTCTGGAAAATAAGTTTCATTCATGTCAAAATACTACATTGTTTGTTAGATACTCGTGTTAAAATTATTACCGAACCACTGGTAATAAGCTGTGAAAGTTTGGTATACCTACAATCCAAAATTCTGGAGACAATGTTCCTTGAATATAAAAATATGTAAGTTGCGGGTTATGGCTTCTTAAGTTTCATAACTCAAAAATGCTCGTATAACCAACTGTTGGCGCTTTTTAGCGGTCTATTATCTCAAACGAGCAATATAACAATGGATTTGCTCTAAAAGTTGCAAAAACACGTAACCAAGGAGCTCTAACACTGACTGCGCGCATGGATTCGACAACAATGCGCGAGCGCTACGATTGGATTTTCATATGGCACCTGGAAGAGCAGAGCCCACGCTGCATGTCTTCAGCAGAGGCAATATTTTGTCTTACGACATAACCGTTACATTCCTGCAACCTGTGGATTGTTTCAACTGCGAATCTTCCTCTGCCCCCCCCCCCCCCAGTTTTCCCATCACAGAGTTTTGTAATATCAAGTGTTTGTTTCCATTTTCTCAATTCACTAATGAATGTTCATTAAGCATTCAAATTTTTGTGCAGTAACATCTGTACATTATGTTTTAATTTACTCATACTTGATCCCTTCAGAGTCACCTTCGTCAAAATAATACACATATTGAAGACAATGTCTTGAAAGTCAAACTGTCGAACCATGCCCCGATTCAGTGTACACATTTATAAAAATAATGATATCTCAACTTCTAGAAGGCGTAAACAAAAATGTATATTGCATTGTGAAGAGCAAAAACGAAATTATTTTTAAAGCAAAAAAACAAACAAAAATGAATATTTTTGAGGGGTTGAACTCTCCGGCTCCGCTTAATGTAATAAATATATGTAAAATTTTATTCAAAAAATGTAGTATTCCATTTGTACTAAAAGTGCTTGTATTAATTAATAAGATGAATGGTGAGATAGATACCTTCTAATAAAGTGGCAATATTCTTGAACTTAACAGTTTAATGTAGAGAATTTTATCACTGACAACAACGGTATCTCACTCCTTAAAAATGACCCCACGCACAAACAATTCACTTCCTTAATACTGAATTAAGCCGGGGCAGGCGAAAAAAATAGTAGAATTTTTAAATAAGTTGTAATTAGGAGTAAGAGATGAATTTGAGCGTGTGTCAGTACAAGTAAATAAATTTAATTTAACTTTACTAACAAATGTAGAACTAAGCTTAACTTTTTGGAATAACCAGCTAAGAATGAAAGTGCAAGTAAAATAATATCTTTACGATTTGAGAATATAAACTTTGTGCTTCCAAATTGAAAGGGAAGCAGAGCTTCCATCGCGTGCTTCCACACCTATCACCACCAACACGTGCTCCTGCTCAACTTCTTCACCACGCCTTGCAACCTCATCTACGTCCACCTTGCTCCTGCCGCAAACCACTGGCCCTTTGCTACAGTGCATCTCCTCCGCGATATCGCACAGCTTCCTCCCCCTCTCGAGCAAACGATTTTAGGTCCCAACTCCCCTTTTACGCACTTCCTTGCATACAACAGCTTAGTATAGAATACTGCAGCGAAAAACACCAAATATTTGGCAGGCAATTTTGTTTTATATGTCCCTAATGCCCAAAAAGTGGAAAATTCTAACTCATATGTAGTAAATTACTTCCTCTGACACTCACGATGTGCGGTCAGAAGCCACGCTGTGTGCGTCATTGATACCAAAAAATTGGTACACGGCGAAACATCCGTTCGACAGTTTGTGAACAAAGCTAGTAGCTTAACTGTAAAATACCATTTTTAGCAAATTTCAACACATGCAGTATTTTCAAAAATAATAAAATTAGAAAAAAGTAAAACTATACCTGTTAAGATATTTAATTCTTTAATAAATAGAAAATAATTAAAAATATGAAGATCAAATTTTGGTATTTTTTGTGCCATTTGACGTAACACGTGAAATGTCGCGAATGTAACACGCGAATCTAAAATGTTTACAAACAACTTAATTCCTTCCTTCTTTACCAGAACACAAGAATATCAACGCAACGCATACTCGTTGATCATAAACCACCACTATCGAAGTCTCCCCACACAGTAGCTTACAGCAAAATGCAAAGCAGTAAATGCAGTAAATGCAAAGCAGTAAATGCAGTAAGCTTACAGCAAAATGCAAACTAGCTATTAACATTAACTTTTTTAAAGTCGCTTTTAAACTAGTAGGTCATGTAGCGACCACTTTGTTTTACATTGGGGTAACTGTAGGGGGAATACGACACGTAAGGACAACACAAGCACACACAAACCTCCATGACTCAGGGATTCGAACCCGCGACCCTTCGAGCAGAAGCAACTACAGCCTAAGCGACTGGAAATTCATCACGGTTAACATTAGCATTACACTAGAGTTTCATTGTTAAATCTTCAAATTGTCGTTGTGTATTATGAAAATAGTTATTATCTTATTGTTTTGCAAGGAGATCTTTAGAATTGCGGATATAAAAAAACATCCATCCTCCTATACAAATACACTTTCTGTCTGCAATCATTGCTGTGTTATCAGAAAGACTACGTTCATAACATGTTTATCCGGAGAGACACGCAATGTGCTTTGCGTGCTTTTACATTTTGTTCTAGGGCTTTTATCCAGCCCACTGCCCGTTACTCCTTACGACCCGTGAGTCGCGAATTCCACCATACACTAGGCATTAACACACTCGCGAGGCCCTTCGAAACAACACATACGTGAGAGAGAACCACGCCCAAGGCGGGACTCGAAAGGCCGTCCGGGCCGGAGCGATTAGATTTACTACATAATATCTAACACCTGAAATATAAACCGTTTTATATTTGCATTTGTATCAGCAATGAGTTTCGGAAAGGTCCGTTTCCCTTATTATTTATCTCCTTAAATTTATCCGTTTCCCTTACTATTTATTGTGCTATCCTCTCTTCCTCTAGGAGACCGAAAATTATTTAAATGAATAAAACTCAGCTCCGTTCCACTTTTGTTTATTCAGAATACGATTCCATTCAAATCGTTTCAACCACGGAGTAAGATATTTCTTACACCGGGGTTATAACAATCTTAATTTTATCTTCACAAATACATGCTATCACTGGTGTCGCCTCTTTGATGGCCTCATAGGATTTCCAATACTCACAACTCAGAGAATCGGAGTCCAAGACGTATCGCGATAAATAGAACCGTCAGAAGGACCATGCGAGATGCACAATATTCTCCATGTAGATTCTGTCTGTAGCATACGAAGCCATGAATTTAGTGTAAAAATAGTTTTCTCGGGAAAGTAAGAATGATCTACTGATAATGAACAGTGTCATCACGTCAGAGGGATTCATTTCCAGAATATAGCCATTGAATTAACAATATTAATCAAGTAAATTCCTAGCATTCGTGCAACGATATTATCATCAGATCTAACATTTCAACATTAAAACTTTGGTAACGATCTACAATGTAACAACTTGAAAACCAAACAGCCCAGAAACCGCTTTGGATTTAAAAAAACAGCTTTCAACTACATTTTTATGCACAAAACGTTTTTATAAAATAAAATGAAGTACTTGCAGCATTTTGAAACCGAATAACAATGGCCCGAGGAAACCACTTTTAAATTGAAATCTGAAGGACTCCTCCCTACTTTAAAACAAATTCCTGCTATTTACTGATACGGAAGAGAAAAAAATAAGATTTTATTGACGTGTGAAAAAACATCTCTGAGGTGATACGACGGTAGGACGCCAGAGAGCTAATTCTTTTGAGTGAATAAAAATCTTTACTTCAGAGTTCAATATATTATTTTATTCATTACCATTTTGTAAACGAATGCAAAAGGAGTATCTAGATATAACTTCATACGTAATATTTAGATATATTGTATAGTATATAGATTACACAAAAATATGCAATATATCGTACATTGGGGTATACATGATGAAATGGAAACGACCTGGCGCTGCTGGATGTTTGGCGTCTGCCAATTATACAAAATCAAATGCCCCCGTACTGGAAAATTCCGAGTGCGCCCCGATTGGTGCTTTAAATCTTCATAATCATCATGAAGCCTATTCGATAACGGGCTCAGCCCAGGACCGGGTTTACGTACAAGCGGAGCAAGCAGTTGCTTGGGGCCCCATGCTTCGTAAAAATATTTAATGTAATAAATATAATATATGTAACATTTAATATATACCATTATTAGTTTTCATTTGTACTTTAACAGAAAGTATTCGTATGAAGAGAAGTTCTTTATTTAATAAAGATGAGCTATTTTTGCGAGGGGCGGGGGCAAAAATGTTGTGCTTGGGATCCCCACAATACTTCAATTCGTCCCTGGCTCAGCCTGCAAAACGTGTTACCTGCCGTGTGACATAGGCCGACTGGCGCAGGATCTCCTCTTCGGTGAGGGCGTCGACGAGCGCAGACACTTTCTTGCGCAGCGCCGCCTTGTGCTTGCGCACACGCACCTCCTCGTCGACACTGTCGCTCGCCAGCACCATTCTGCACCCACCTACCGCACCGACTGCGCGCGGAGTTGAGCGCGCGTGCACCGCGTGGTCGTGCAATGCGCGCGCGCGCGCCGCCGTAATGCAATCTAGTGAGCATTTTATGCACTTGCCACGTAATATACTCTCTGCTTGCCACATACGAAAAAAAAAACAGCAGACAACCCTGGAAAGCATAACCTCAAACCAACGTAACCTCCTCCTGTCACCTGCTGTGGAAATGAAAACACGGTAGTAACAGGTAATTTTTGAGTTCTGAATGAATAACAAGCGATGGCCGCAAAGCAAGAAGATGAAGATTATTGGAACGACAGTGAAACGAAAGCGAAGGCGCGCGCATTTAATTTTGAGGAAGAAGAAGTAAGAGAATCACAAGTATTAATGTCCTGCTTCTCCATGTAGCACGTATTAATAAATTGTATTTGCCTAATTAAGTCTGTAAAATGTTTCATTATTGGCGCCTAAAGCGTAACGCTCAAACTAACTTCTCTTAAATATTTTCCAGTACGGAAACCAACTATGCGGTGTGTCTATGAGTGGTACAGCTCGCCTATCACAGCAAGTACGGGCAGATTTAAGACAGGATGCATCATACTTAAACTCGGACTCTTTATATGGTTAGTTGTAACAGATAGATAGATACATTTCACAAAGCGCACATTTTCGTAAAGTGTTGTGTTACTCTACTTTGCAGGTGCATTGTCCACGGTAACATTTGGTGACAGTGGGAAATATGAGTGCCCTTTAAATTCTCTTATTTCTAATAAATCATTGGCATGCAGTAAGTTTTTCATTCTTATTACATTTATAATAGGATTTAATTTTCATCTGTGTGCTTTGGTTAATACACATATTAATGCATATTAATTCATAATTTATAGTACTAAATGCACTGAAACCTTTTCCAAGAGAAATCAAAGCATCAGTTCCCCCTGAAGAAGAACTTCGAATCCTAAGACGCCGAGCAGAGGTATGAATAATTTCAGGTTTCTCATAAATCACATCATGTCACTCTTATGGTGGTATTATTAGATATGATATTGCATTTGCTTATTGTGAAGGAGTCAAAAAGGTCTAACTAATTTTTATATTCCTAAAATTACGCAGAAATTATTTTTAATGAAGATCAAATCATATTCATCAAAAACCATATTATTATTTAGTGGAAGAATGATAGTGAAAAATAAACATTTCTATAGACAAGGCAATTTCAAACTTTTAAAAATTTGAATGTAAATTACAACACTACATTAAATGCTATAAGAGAACTTTCATTTCAAAGTATCTAATTACAATACAGAGACATATTTAGAGTATTAATATTGTCAAAAATTATAGTTCACTTTGAATGATGTAAAACTGTACTTTTATCTGTCTTTATTTCTTATCATTTTCGGAGTCGGAAGAACAGAGATAACATCCTCCATTGATACTTCAAAAACACATCCCTGTTTCAGTTAACTCTTAAATCTCGCAATGCCATGGCATGTGTGCCTACACACAGGTGCATTGATCTAAATATGAATAATTTGTAAGTTTCCCTTAAGGATGAACTATGATGGTGCCTATACCCGAGTCATGAATTGTATCTAGAATAAGATATTATATTATTATTATATAATATTATAAACAATTTCATAATTTAAATAAAAAGGATTTTATTCTTTATTTGGGAGCTCTTTAAATAAATTATAATTATCTATAATAAAAAGGACATTATTTAAGTGGATTATTATTATTATTATTATTATTATTATTATTATTGTTGTTGTTGTTGTTTACTAGTCAAAACAAATCAAGAAGCAAAATTCAAACATTTACCTTGTCCAAAATTGCCCCATTTTGTGGTATTTTTCATTTTAATATTGTATTATCCTTATAATCTTTGGGAAATGGAAGATGTTAATTGAAATTTGTGCTTTGAACTGTAGAAATGCATAATAAAGTCTCAGTAGCTTGCAGCTTGAAAATTTATATAAGTAAAAATAAAAACATACACATGTATAATTATGAAATATAAATGAGAAGTCCATAATATTAATAAAAATTGTGTTATTTAATTTTCAAGGCTTGGTTTGTTTGAATTTGTATTAAAATGTTCTTGTATTTGATCAATTTTAAAGAAAATTTATTTATGTAAAATTATATGTAATATAATGACTTTAACTTAATACGAAATTAAATCCTTATCTTCAGTTTTTCAACCGTCAGTTTAAAAAGGTTGAACTTCCCAAAAGTCTGTTATAATTTTTTAGAGTTCGGAAAACAGAGTTGACTGCAGTTGTGAATTTCGTCATGAACTGATGATGCAGTAAAAACTTTGTTGTAGTGTATCATTGTAAATTCATGAAATATTTACTAACATGGAAGAGGAAACTAAATGTGTGAAAATGGCTAAAATTATGAAAAAGTTAAAAAAACATGAACAAAAAAAAAAAAAAAATTGAAAAATGGCAGAAAACAACTCAATAACTACACATTTCTATCGCCTATATGTTGTAATAAACATTTACTTCCTAGGCACAGCTTTAACATTTTAGTTTATACATTTGATTTTTATGTAGAAGAAAAAAAAGTTGTTATTAGCATAAAAATTTGTATTGCCTGTTTTTATAAATGTTTTCTGGAGCCAAAATGATTTCTCTTTATGTTAAGCCATACTATTTTCAGTAACTCAGCATAGAACAGAAAATATTATGAGTGATATTTTCAAATATACCATGTGCATATTTATCTGATAATCTGAATTCTTGACTAAATTCCTGTTTAAGGATCTACACTATGCTCCGCCTGTGAACGAGACTATTACTAAAATACTTCTGGGGCATCCATTTTCCCTGGAGGCCTATAAATCTTATCAAAACAAAATAGATCTTCTTGATTCAGCAATTAAAGTTGGAGATGGTAATGCAATCCTGGCAGTATGTATTACATCTTTAGTCTTTCATAAATTTATTGCAGATGCATTTAAAAACACCAATTAAATATTTATTGCAGGTTGTCTTATTTTTAGTAAGAACCTTGAAGAAAAGTTTACTTTTTAACATTTTTTCTTCAAGACCACAAGCTGTTAGTCATTACGTACATTATTTGGAAACACGAATGCAACTTCATGAACTTACTGATTTACTCACGTAGGTGTTTTCTGTTAATGATGTACTAAATTAAAATACAAAGTAAGGTTTATTTTAAGATTTTTAATTATCTCAAAAATTGACAGCAATTTTGATGATTTTTAAAAATGAAAAGTGTATTAAGAAATGCCCATTCTTTTTGTCTTTTTTAGTATAGCTGGATGAAATATATAGTAAAACTTAAACACAAATTGCAAATGTTCCATTAAATTATATAAGTTAATTAGATCAACTTTGCTGAACTAAACTGAAATATGAGTTAATTAAAGTATTAAAGAAATACATTTTTCGTTAGTGTTTTTATTGCATTTCACACAGATTGATACTGCTGCATTTACAATATTTCCAGGATGCTTGGGAGAGGTCGTGATGCTGCTGTAAGTTCACATTTATTGAAATTAAATTAAATATGGGTAGGTCAAAAGTAAATGAATGGATTCTTTCAGATGAAACATTTTCGAGTTTGTGCTCACTCAAAATCTGACAGAAATCGTCAACTGCAAAGATTACGAGCTTGTGCTACCAACCATTTCTCTGGACCGGACAGTAGAGATGGAGAGCATGTGAGCCAGTTTATTAAGCTTTTAGGTATGTTTATGAAAAGATACTCTCATTTTTTAGCTACTGGCCGAGCATTGTTTTCCATATACTACCAGTTGCAAAAAAAAATATTTTCAATATTGTGTATGTTTTATATCTTAGAGTGGCAAATGGCCATGGCAACAAATGACGGTGACTTGGGCCATGGTCTTATTGGTCTTCCTGTTCTCGGATCAATTGCCCATGCTTGCAAACATCACTGGGGTGAGCCCAAGGGAAGCTTTGGTTCTCCTCTGACTCTTTGCCAACAGCAAGGTGTTAATGACAGACAGTACAGGTGGACAGCACTCACAGTGCGAGCTGCTCTTCAGTCTTGGGAAGATATAAGTAATATATTAACTGCCAAGGTATTAAAGAGTTTTTTTAATTTGAAAACTAAAGGGTCAACACAGTAGTGTAACAAAGTGAGTGCGGGCCCACTGGAAAACGTTTATCCAAGCCCTCTTTATAAAAGTGTATGGCAAACACAAATAGTGTTAATACCTTAATTAATAAAAAATCCTTTAACAAATTCATGTTTATCAGACTATGAGTACTACATAAGAAATTAATCTTACACAAATTATATTGATTTAGAAGCAGTGTTACATAAGCTACCACAGTGGGAAACAAATCTATCGTGTGCAAGATTTCTAATCTTTTATTGTATCAACTATCACTAAGTATTAAGTAATCGCAAAACCTTCAAAGTAAAAATAGGGCCTCTTTTTACCTGCGCCTGTCCGCATTGCAGGCCGATCGTTATACCTCTGGGTCAATACCCAAAATGATGTCAATTATCATATACTGGCAGTAACAGAGGAGCTCCTCAGAATGGCAGCAATTATAAGAATTGTGGTAAATAACATGGGTAGGGCTAATGATAGAAGGATTGTTGCCAATTTCCCCTTGTTGATCATTAGTATTTTTATATTTGTGTTATTTTCTTTACTCTGCAAAATATTTGGCTTAGTATCTTTCCTAATTTACAATTACAAATACATTTTTGAAAACGGTGCTTATTGAGCCTCAAGGAAGTGATATCTGCTCTTGAATAAAATGGAAGGTACTATTTATTTTGTTTTTATTAAATTTTATTGAAATGTGACTTCTTGTGTATGAATACACAGATACATAGCTATCAAACTATTTGAAGACCTATTTTTTAAGAACTCTGCTGGAATCACTGATACATTAACTTTCTCACAATCTTTTGCTCTTCCAAAATTATTAATTTATAGCAATATGCTAAGCAAACCCAGATGTTACATTAGAATTTGACCAAAGGTGATCAAGATGGATCATTTCAAAATTCAAACTAATAGAACTACTTTCTCTCATTATCTGTAACTTGGCAATTTCAAAAATCGAGATAGTTCAACAAAAATGAGAACATACCATTTTTAAGTGCCCTTCGCTCTTTCCGAGGGAGAAAAATGTAAACAAATAAATTGCAGCCGTTTTTGAGAACAATTGTTTTATAAATTGCCTTTACCAGTACACAAGAAATAATTTTGAAATCAAAAGAGTGCTCTCTCTGGCGTTGCGTGCGTTCCCATGCAGCGCACTGATGTCACCCTCTTAAGCTCTTCCACTGCATTTACTCTTTGGTCATGCATCACCATGCTTCAACATAGGGCCCCAGTTGTTTTCATGCTGCAATGAGCCATCAGCTTACGGAGCAGGGATCTGGCCGGTGCAGCATCCGAGGAGAATACCAATTTTCTGTCTTCGTTTTAACTGGAAGCAATTTATTTTAATGAATTTCGCCTTTTATTAGAACTACACTAGTTCAGTTAATGCTTGGCGGTATTGAGCGCATTATTTATGATGTTTGGGGAATTTATTTTCATTTGATGTTAGGTGTCTTGCTTCAAAATGTGCATCTGATGAGTCATTGTATGAATCTGTTGATATTTGCTTGAAAATATTTAGTTTGTGCGATGAGTTTTACAAAAAATTACGATTGAAATGTGTTAATTCAGAGAGAAATAGTTGTATAAAGAGTATTACATAACTATTACTAAAGGCAAGAAAGTATGTGCTGTTTTAGCACCACTAGTTTACTTTCTCTCCTTCTTATGAAGGTACTTCGTAAAAAAAGAAAGTTATACTATCAAAAACAAGCTAAAAATTCTGCATTTTCAGAAACACTCAAATACCATTTTCTTGAAAATGGCTCCAATTTTTTCTTTACATTTTTTGAACTGATTGTGTACTGAACAACATCACATCAATACTTGATTTTTTTTTTTCAATAATTACAGAAAAGTCATTTTTTGAAATATCTTTCATTACGTTAATATTTATATTACCACCAATTTGTATACATTATAGTGTTTGTGAGCCAATGGGCTTAAAATGATTTCCAATGAAGTATCTCCAAAATTAAAAAGTTTTGTGAAAAAGAGCTTCAAATTTCGCATTTAGAGAAACGTTTTTTCAGAACGGCTCCAAATTATTCAGTTGGAAATTTGCAGAATGATGTTTTACTCATCTACAGTATTCTCAAAGTCAGATATCAATTCCACCATTAGGTGACCGAGAAATTGAGAAAATGTGGTTTCGGCGGTGATAGGGGGAAGAGGGTGAAGGAAAACAGACGACACAGCCCAGACCATAGAAATTAGAAAACTAAATAGTATGAGAAAATGTGCCATTCTGTATCATCACTAGTTTATATTTTATTTTTTATACTTCGAAAATATCCTCAGCAATTCACTTTAAGAACAAACTTCTGGATATTATAGAAAAGAAATCTTGAAAAGTGCTGTGTTCCAATTATGTGTTTCTCTACAAATTGAGAAGAAGGCAGGGTTTTTTTCCACATAAAATTATTCATTCTTTACAAGTGTAAGTGTGTAAAATTATTACTTTGTATTTATCCCATCTGGTTTTCAATTTTCGCAATTAATACAAGATATTATTATTACTCCACTGATTTTGAATGCTGAATGTCACTCGTGCCACATCTGTCATACCCCACACACTTCATTCTATTTGAAAGGAATCACTGAAGCTTACACTGCATGTAAACTTTTGGCTTCTTTAAATTTCTCAAGAGGATGCTTGGTGGAGTGGAAGTCCTCTGTGTCCTTAATAGACCCAGAACTCACAAATAAGTAATTAATAAACAAAATAGGAATGCAGTTTTGACTTTTATATCAGGATTAATTATTAGATCTAATTTGATTTCCAAATTTCAGAAAAGCTGGCTTGGAGTTACTAAATTAAACACTGTACCAATGGATGAGTTATTTAAACTTTTACATGCCAATGGAGCTCCCTCAACTCTTTTAATGAAATATGCTCAGCTTATAGATGATAAGGAAAAACAAATAGCTTTAATCCATAAATTGCAGTGTCATAGAGTTGCAATTGATGTAAGTATTATTTTACATTACACAAATATATTTATTTACAAAATTATACTAGGATTGCCAGTTTTGTAAGAATAAATTTCTCTGACTTTTTACCAATTTTTGAGGACATTTATTTTTTTTTCCTGGCAAAATGTGTGGAAAACTTCATATTATTTAAAGAAAATTTAAAATATATCTAATATTGGTGTTTATATTGAAATGCTGTTATCAACTGGTCCCTATTCTCTGTATCTCAGACACCCTTGCACTAATGCAGTGTAAGAGAGACATACACATTGAAATTCAAGAAACTTTGTTCTTCTCATCAATTTGACTGGTCTTATATACTTGTGAAAAAGACAAAATTAAAAATCATTTTCAACAAATAAAAAAAGTTGTGATTAAAATTACAATGTTGTTTGAAGGATAATATCTAGTTTTATAGTTGTCTCAAAAAGTTCCTTTCTTCTGAGAATTATTCTAAAGGTTTCCTAATATTTCCATGACTTTTTGAGATCGAAGAAATTCCCTATATGTCAGAAAGTACCTGTTTAAATAAGTATACGGTCTTCACTTATCGTTAGTGAAGGAACAATACTGCATAACTGGCTTTTTGACAATTTTTTTGTTTCTTCTTGCATCAGAGTCCTAACACAGCAGGTATCATGCAATAGCTTGAGAATGTCATGCATTCAATAAAAAAAAGATTAAATTCAATGGAGCATAAGATTTAAAAAATAATGTAATAATTCTTTACCTTAAAATTGTCTCATTAAATTTCCAGTTATACATTTCACAACGTGATAGAAGGTCACTTATTAATTATAAAGCTAATCTTAGCCCCCAATCTGAAGACTATGTTTATGCTGAAAATGTCCTTCAAGATCCGGTGAGTAAGATTTTAGTATGTTGGTTTGTTTATATTCTATTGCAATTTATATGCATGATAGATTTTTGACCACATTAATACTATCAACTTTCCATTCCATAGATAATTTTCTATCGTTTACTGTTTCAGTCCATCAAGTGGAAGAACTAACAAGGAAATGAAATCTACATGTTGATATTTGAAGGAATATTAGTTTAAAGAACATTCCACAAGAAATATACTAGTAATATACTTTTGTTGTCTTGCCATTATTTTTTATCAAGTATTTAATTTGATTATTGAATTAAAAGAATTGATAATGATTAAAGAAAAGTCCTTGTTATGTTTCTCAGGAAACATTACTTTTCATTGTTGCAATAATCATGGTTTCATTTTGATATATTTTCCATCAAAATTTTGAATTTCTAAATCTCTCAGTAAAGTTGGCCAGAAGAAACATTGGCAAAACACACTGCCACTAAAGTAAAAGGAAAGTAATTTTGGTCCCATTTTGTTATTCCATAATTCTCATTCTTGGTGTTGTATGATCTGTTTTCATTAATCTACAAAGCATGCATGTAAGTGATACCATCAATTAGTTCAGCAGAATTATAGTATCGATTTTTGTGAGACGTTACAGTGTAATGTTAGGATGTATTTATGTAATTTTAGGATTTTATTATATAACAGTGTATGCAAAATGTATGTTGCAAATTTATCAATTTTTTGAATAACTCTCTAATGACTGAATCATTTGGCCAGTGGAGTAGTGTGAGTGCCAGCCACCCCCTTATTTACGTATTTCAATATAAAAGACTGAAATTTCTAGAGAACTTTTAAGCAAGAACAATCGTTATTATTGGGTATTCTACAGGTTACAAATAAAAAAGTCTTGTATATATGTTATATAATCCAATGATTACTATACAATCATTTTAAGAAGTCCTCACAGAAAAAGTTAAGATTCCGTGCACATTTCAATCGGTCTGAAACATATGTGCGCCAAAATATGAAATGAATTGGTTCAAATTTTTAAAATATATTATTATTTATTGTGAAATGTTGCCGACCTCTGAATGTGCTACCCTCACTATGCTACACCACTGCATTTGGCATACTCTGACCTGCAATTGAAAGCTACTTCAGACATCAGAGAAATATATACCAAACATGTTGATGGTGTCATTGCAGTTGGTGAAGAGTGATATGAAGAGCAATGAAAGGAAGGAATGGTCTGAAGAGCCTGCTCCTGCTGCCCCCCCTCCCACTCCTACAAGCTGCTTTATACGCCACTCACTGTCTGTCCCAAACATCATTTCGAGACACTCAGGAGGCAGTCATTCTCAACAGATGTGCTCACCCAGGCCCCGACACACAGCCATGTTCAAGAGCAGCACTTGCCTCCTACTGTGCATGGTCCGCCAGCGACTCTTTCAACTTTTGGAAGGGGATGGAGCCTTGATTCAGATGTAACAAGGATATTAATGGGTTCACTCGTATGCTGTCTACATTATTACAGTCCATGTTTCTTTTGCTTGCCCAAGCACTTGGATGTTATTTATGTTCAATAGTTTCTAAACAAAATTTCAAATTACAAACATTAAATTATATTTAATCTGTCAATAAAAATTAAATTTTTGCATCTTTGTTGTATGTATGTGACATATATATTCTACAACATGCCACTACTTGACTAGCTCTGTAAACAATCCAATTCTTTAGAAAATGGATTCCTAGTAACCTACTGAATTTCATGAATCTCACAGCTGTGAAGACACAATGTAATAATCTAGAAGATTTAGGATGAGATATGTATGATTTTTACAGCCAATACTTGTTGTGGCAATAATGCTAGTAACTGATGTTCACAGGGAATCCTATAATGCTTCATATAAAATATTAAATTGAAGTTTTCTACAGCCCCAGTAGCAAAAAAAGGCTTAACTGATTTCATGAAGAATGCACACTTAAGTGTGAAGAGTAGAAGCTCTAAAATAAATTTATTCCTTTTAAACAAATAATAAAAAAGTTTCTTTTTTCAATAATGGCACCGAAGAAATAAATAGGTGTCTGAAATGCGAGGAATTCATTTTAAGACTTATCCTTCTTTAAACAAGCCACATGTTATAATCAAAGCCTTCACTGACTCGTTCGTTAGTGTGCCGCTTTCCACAGCGCAATTCTGGATTTGATTCCCGACTGAGGCAAACGTATAACTGTGCGCTTTCTTTGGAAATGTTCCAGTATCTATTGCTGTGTGACGATAAAAAAGCCCACTCTAAGGTTAAGAAGATCAGTATATACAGTTGAGGCAAGTCTTCGTGCTATCTATATAAACCCCTTATCCCATGGCAGAAAGGCTAGACCACTGCTGGTCAGCCAAGGCCTGCATTGGGTTGTCGAGCCATAGGACATGTAATCTTTCCCAATATATATGTACAGTAAACTCAAAATTGGCCGATAAAAGAACACCTGAAAAAATGGGTACATAATCATATCACAATATTTAATATACCACAAAAGAATCAAGCATTAAAACAGGAAATGAAGACTGTTCCACTCAATCTTTTCTTTTATTTATCATACAATGTCTAGTTCATTAAACAATAAAAACTAAAGAGGAAGCACTTGTGGAACATTTCATATATTTGAAACAATCAGGCAGGGTCATATTGCTTGCAGAGGATTACTAAACTATAAAGGGAGTTTTCGAGTGCTACATTGCACTCTTTCTCCAATCCCTGACTTTATTTAAAACGTAATTGACAATAACAAGCCATTTCTCAAATAATATCCTTAAAAGATCCTAACAAATCTTCTATTTAAACATTAATATCACAAAGGAAGTTTATATTAATGTGCAATTAAAAGCACATTATATTTTCCAAGGAAAATATTGAGATGTTATTCATTCATTTTTTAGAATAAAAAGAAGCCTGAGACTTATGAGCCTTCAAATGTTTTTAAACTGGGAATGGGAAATTCAATGTTCATGCATGTTGTAGAAATGCTGTAGAAAATTTCTGAGATTGAACACTAGTAGCATTCACAGCATATATCCAAGTTTAGTCCTGGGAATTAGTCTCTTACTCATGCAAACATGCTTTATCTAGATAATATGTATTTCCTCTCATTTGTTTTTGTATTTCAGTACAGCTAACATGTAAACATCTTGTTCCCAATTACTTTTGGTTAGTTTTAAGTAGTAACAGTTTTTTTACATAGACCAATGAAGGAGATTAGAGAAAGAAAAATAAGCTCCAATTCTATTATACATTAAATTTCTCTGAATATTAATGTAAGTTTTTTATCCTACACATAATATATTATTTCAAAAATACTCAGCATCCATATGGAGCATACAGAATACACATGCTATAATGGAAATATTCAGTACTTACTCATAAAAATGTACAACATGTAGATTCTTAAAAAACTATACAAGTTCAAAATCTAAAAATCACAGTACCCTGAACCTGGTGTGCAATGTCAAGGATTGTATACCTCACAGCCCCACTCATCCCAAAAGACACATTACATAATTATTTTTAACATTCTATAACAAATACTTGATGTTAAAAGTCACTCTGATTGGCTACTTTTCTCATTTGTATAAACATCAATCAGATTGCTTTAACAGTCATAACATAGAACGTTTTATAGTCTGAACACACATTCTGGAAATGTACCGGTCTGCTAAGCCACAGCTAGTCAGAGGAATGTATTAAGTACACAAGCCTTTCCTTTTCTTTGTGGAACCATAACAGAAAGCTACGCTGAAATATGTGGGTGCAGTGGAATGTTTAGAACCAACGACTAGATAGAAGACTAGAATCAAACACCCATCATTCTACAAGCTCCAAACGTTGCACCTATTTCCATCTGTATTTTGTACCATCTCTTTTCATCAAGATGTGCAGGGAAGGCTTTTCATGGTATATATACATTCTACCATTCATATCCCCATCTAACTACATACTGTCTACTTAATAAAGTCTTTTAACTGCCAATAATAATTGTGTCCTTTCTTACTGCCCTGCACATATAAAAGCTTCAAGAACACTTTCCAAGTGAACATTATAATGAAGATTTTTGTAGGACCTAGATATCACAAGTAACAGACTACTAGAGAATATTACAGAAAAGTCACAACTCATTAGAGTTGCACTCACGAGCCATCTGTTCCAGCACATTCGTATTCTTCTTCATTTTGGCAGTGCTGAGAATTGCCAATGTTCCAGACAATAGCAGCTTCTCTGAAATATTCAGATTCATTCCTTTAATAATTCCAAACAATTAACTTGGGAAACTTAAAATAAATGTCAGAACTACCTTCCTTTATTTAACAAAAATACCTTGTAACCTTGTTATTGAAATAGTGGAAGACAAGATAATAATAAAATTTTATGTGAAAGTGAAAGAATGTGTTTGTTTCCAAGAACCACTAACTTTTGTATCATACAATTACTTCCAAGTTTGACACATAGTTTTGAGCGACCAAGAATAAAAAATGCCAGAAATCTTATTCAAAATGTTACCCTAAAATGTGTTGTTGGTTTTTATTTTTCCCAAACATAATAGAAAGTTATGTACTACTGCGGCAAAATACGAGATATTTCAGCAGAGTAATTGCAGGTCCCCGATAAACAAAATGTGGATAATTCTTGTTCTTATTTATAGTAACTTAATTTCTCTAACAACTGTAGTCAGAATCCACATTTTGTGCATATTTGAAACCAAATAAAATTGGTTTACCATAAAACATCTGTCCGTCTATGTACACCGCTAGTAGCTAAACCATAAGAAGGATTTTCACCAAAATTGATATACTCTGAACGATCTCGCTGTTGTCGCAGCCCTTGACTTCATACATATATTTTAATACTTGTAAGAACATGAAGCCTCAAGCCTCCTTGTAGTGTACTGTAGCCTCAAGAGCATTTTCAATTTTTTGTCCAAAATTGCTCAAAATTATTTGGATTGTAGTTATTTATGTAACAAGTCATCTAAATGAGTCTTTACAGACTACTAGAGGACGTGTTGCATGTAATGTTTTTTGTTATTTCCAATAATTGTAGTTATTAAATATAAGCATTTCACACTTTCATGAGTTAAGAATTGCCATTACTCTCGATGTTCTGTAGCAAGGGTTGTTGGTACAGTGCACGATTTTAAAATAATCACAGTACGTGGAAGGATCTAAAAAACGAAGAGGGGTCAAGTGGAATAACGCGGGGAAAGGAGGACGAATTAGACCATTGGACAAACTGGGACTTTATCCAGATTTATGGTAAAATTTAAATCCGCATTTTAACAGCCGTTGCTACTGACACTCTCTTGAAGATGGTTGCCAAGGAGCTAGCGACGTAAAAATCATTGAAGGAACTTACAAAGTACGCTTACAAAAGTGCGGCGCGTTCTATTTTCGTAGAACTCAGAAGTTTCGAAAATTACAAAGTGAAAAATATTTTCGGCGTTTCCTACAACTACTTGATTAAATTACAATATTGGAAAATATTTTTCTTTTGAATGAAATATTTTCTTGCAAATTATATCTCTAAATAAGGAAATGTACGTTTTTTTAACATACATGTCTTGTAATTTTGCGTGCAAATAAAGACAATTTTAAAAACAAGATTTTTATAAAAAAAACCTCCCTTTTTTGTTATCCTGTAGTGCGAAGTACGCTTGAAACTAGTCAGATACAAGACGTCCGGTCATCGGTAGTTGCGACCTTGACCAATCAAAATGTTAGGAAAGTTGTATTTTAATTATTTTAAATAGCTGGATAATTAATATACACATAATTAAAATGAAATGACTAAAAAAAGCCGATAAATAGCCATAAAACAATAAGATCACAAATTTTATCGCATCGAATTGAGATCTCGTCGCTGTTCTGACGAGATTTGGAAGCACTCAGCTGATCGCACCGGTTCGTATTCTTGCACAGCGATAAGCACTCCTAAACCAAAAACCATTTGTCACATAAATTCGAAAAGCTTTTCGAAACAATTTCAAAGGCCGATACTGTCCTTTGTTTATAAATTTGACAGTTTTCAATAGTGCCGAGTTACGAGATTTATTAGTGGCTCTGTGTCTGTGGAATCGAGTGTTTGTCAAAACTGTTGGCCGGCTTTTTATTTCCAGTAAAATAATTTAGGTTTCTGTTAGGTTTTTTAAGTGGTCATACAAATTCGGCTAAAGCTCACGAAATATTATTTTTTACAAATTGATCGGGAATGAACGAATTTCAGTTTTCCTCCCACCTCAAATTTAGACCCCATCTTACGTTTGTGGTCATAGCAACGATGAAGAAATAGAAGTTTATGCAATTAGTTTATAATGTTAAGCTTCATTGCATGAGTACATGTTTTGAAAACGAGCGACTTTAGGAGCGAGTTTTCAAATTTGTACGAATGCAATAAAGCAACATTATAATCGAGTTGCGTATTATATTTTTTTGTATAGCAGTATCATACATTTATAAGAGAATCAAACTTAATTTTGCGAAACTTCCCTGGGACGACTGGGGTATTTGACATCGTGCGAGTAAAGTGGTCGGCTGTTCCGTTTAACTCTACTTCCCCCCGATTCTCTCGCTACGATTGGCTGAATGTGTGATAACGCAATTATTAGTGACATAAAATCTAATACGACATCATTTGTGCCGTAAAATGCCCGATTATGAACGATTTCTTGCAACAAAAAAGGTTTTTTTATAATGCTGGGGGAAAAAACACCACCACTTTCTGAAGCAATTCCAATACAACGTTAAAAAGTTATATTAATAAGTTAATGAATAAAGTTTATTTTTCCCCATACGTCATATACAGTCTTTAGGCTAAATAAATCAATTATATCGTTCAGAAGATTTATTGAAAAGAATGTGGACAAATGATATCAGAAATGTGAGCGTGATTTTGAGTATTTAAAAGATATAACACTACGAAAAAAATTTTGATTTTCTCCATCGCCAAGTCGTTTTAGATATGCCTGGCTATCGACAAATTGCGATGATTTATTTAAAATACGTTTCCAGAAATTGTCACTTCTTATGAACATCAGCATATGACAACGTAAGTAGTTGTATGTCGATACCCACGAATGATATCTATAACGTTGAATATAGTTTAGTACTAGCCCGTTGAATATCAAGATTTGAATTGAGAAATAATTATTACATTGTTTATATTACGCATGAGCCCAGCAGGGCAATATTACCAAAATTATAATTTCCCGTGAGACCCCGAATTCGGAAAATATATTACAATATAAGCTTGGGGAATATTTTTGGAATTCTGCGTACACAGGTATTTCTACAGAGTGTAGAATAAAGACAAATTCTCCAAAATTTTCAGAAACGCTTGGTTAAGAAAGGGAACATTGAGGGAAACCAATTTATCATACTCTACGTACCTATATTATTTTATACTACAATATTTCCACAAACTTTCCACAGATTTTCGAATGTAAGCTTCATTCACAGTACTTTAAGTCATTTAAAAATATTAGTCTTGTGAGTTACTATTTAGACTGACATGGTTGAGAAGAAATTCATTATAATAAATATGATTCGTCACGTCAGGCAAACAAGTCTGTGTGCTTCCCGAGGCAATTTTTTTTTTTTTAAATGGCTGGCTCAGAGCGAAGTCGCTCGCCCTTCACCAAGGAGGTCCGGATTCCATTCCCGGATAATCTCATGTGACATTTGTTCCGAAAAAAAAAACAAACAACAACAACAACTAGGTCCAACACCTGTGAAGTGTCCTAACTTCTAGCGCTTTCCTAATTCCTTCCCAATTTTGGCCACCGGGTGACGCAGGAGCGCGTAAGAGAGGCGCGTACGCGGGGATCTTATTTGGCGGTCCACTTGGCAACTGACAGCGACGGGACTGGACAGTAGACCAATATAATATTAACGGAGGATTCCTCCAATAAATGTTAGTGGAGGATTATTCCTTACAAGCAAACGCTCAACCCCCTCCTAGGGGTTTGGAGACGCGTTGCGTCAATGTTAGGGGCAATTTTAAATAAGAATCTGAGATAAAATATGTCTATTAAAGATGTAAAAGAGCAAAGATCAATTAAGCTATAATGAAAAAGCTTAATGCATAAAGGACAAATCTTAGAATTGAATTATTTCCCGATCGGGCCGCGCCAGTAGCAGATTTGAATATGATTCTCCAGACGTTGGCATTACTTCAAATACTCCAATGGCCGACTTTGTAAACCAACAGCAGTGGCCAACAAAATAACCCATACTCTACCCGCAATTCATCTATCCATCGGTCAAAAAAAGTTGCGCGGATATTACTCTTCCATAAAAGCCTTGTTATGACTCAGATTTTGACAACAGTTCGACACACAATTGGTCCATTGCAAGTGTACCATCCATAAGCCACATCAATTCATACTGGAAGGAACAATTGGAACCGAAGCGACCTCGCCCGAAGCCTGTTTGTTCGACGGAGAATATTGGAGCTGTACGAGTTGCTTTACAAAAAACGCCCGGTAAATCGTGTAGAAAGATAAGTGCAACTGGGAATATGCAGACTCTGTGTTCAAAGAACTAGCTGAACCCGTTCTATTACATCGGAGAAGGAAGTGCAGTAGAAAAGTGAAGACAAAAAAAATACTGCATATCCATAAATATACATTATTCATGGATATGTAGTATTTTATCATTATTATCCATACGTTATGTACGTGTGTATATATACATATATATAAAAACATATACGTATATACATACATACACATATACATTGATATTGTTTTGGCGTAAAACAGTAAATCCTGCTATCTACCTTACCGTAATGTATGTAACAAAATGTATAAAACACAATTTACAAATAATAATCCGAACTACTTCGCTTCTCATGTTTTCCGCAGAAATCATAAGTACGATATATAAGAAGGTACATTGAATACTTACAACTGAAGGTCACAAACAATATTCTTTAACGAACACACATCTGTTCTCAGAGCATGCACAACTGCTTTGCAAATTCCCACGAACTTGTCAACTTGCGCACGACGCCATCTTCCCGTTTCCATTCTAAACGCACATATCTCACAAGTTAAATGTCGTAGCTTTTTATTAATAAAGGAATACTGTGCTCTATTCAATAGGTAGTGACTTACACTCATTTTTTTGGTACTTCACATGTTTAAAACCGTTCTCTGGGAGTCGAATTGGATGGACATCAAAATCGTTCTATGTACAACTCGCGCAAGTTTTCTTGATTCACGA